GACTAACAAATCAGTTTAAACTATTTGCGAGTTAGTCTATAAACGAACTTAATGTGATAACAGAATACTTGGTGCTGAAAAACACATCACTCAGTATATTGTGAGCTGACTAAAGTTGAAGTGACTATATAATTTGATCTACTAATCCGATCATTTACATATTTAGCAAAACACCATATAAACATTTTCAGACCTCAAGATAAGGATAGAATGATATGTTTTAGATCGTAAATTAAATATTTTTTCAATATATGCGCGAACTAATGTTTTAAATGGTGTAAAGTATATATATATATATATATATATATATGACCTTCAGATACAAAATATGTTACGTCATAACCAACACCAAATATTATGATCTGTTTATAGCTTACCAAATTGTTTCTATCTAGTTTAGATTTTAACTGTTAAGTGCAATTAATTTCACCAAATGAAATGGGCAATGGAGAATTAAGACAAGGATACAATTATTTTCAAATGATTTTCAAACATAGTATCTTTATATGTCCTGTAAAATCTTATAGATAACTCTGTGATACAACAAGAACACTTAAAATTCATATAATTCAAACTTCGACTAATATGAAACTGTGAAGTCGACGATATCCATACAGATTAACTGAAGTCACTTTTTCCGACAACTTTAATTAAAAAACTGAATATACGAATATCGTTGGTTGTGAAAATTTTCATTTCACCTCAACTTTTAAATATGCTTGAGGTGGTATTGTACCTGTAAAGTTTTTAATGTATGCACTGTATAAAACAAACTCAATTTATTCACCCTTTTCTCTTTTTTAGTCCATTATACCACATAGCTAGCATTGATTCAAATACTTAAATTTATGTTGATATTTTAGTGATGAGACTTCTGTTCTGGTTAATGACGTTCGGATTCTATTGAATGATATAACAGAAAACTGAATAACTGATGATGCAAGCCAGTGTTACTCAAAAAATCAAATAATTTTAATAATAACACCGAATAGATCAGCATTACTCGACGATTTCAGCAGTAGACAAAAGCATCACTACATATGCATAAGAGAAACATGAAAATTATCATGCCACTTTATTGCACTGAAGCAGAAACCTATCACAAAAGAACTTTCTGTGGAAAGTCACAAGGTTTTGCAAGATTATAGTTAACAAATATTATTAGATCATTTTTCACTAGTGAACTAAATGACTTCATACACGGACCACACAAAATTAAGTTTGTAAAACACCTTGTTAATTTATTTATATAAGTCGTTGCATGTGTGGAAAACTTAGAGCACACAAACTGGAGTGAATTCATCTTATCCCAGGATGTTTATTTTTCTTACTTTGCGAGTTTGTCAAGGAAGCTTACTTCATGAAATAATCGAGTAATTTAAAGTATATACACCATATTAAATTAGGAATTTTGATATTTTATCTAAAAATGACGATTTAAGCAGAAAGGTATGTGAATCTAAAGTGTCGATAAGGAAAAGATAATCACAAACGACAGTAAGTATGAGCCATGCGAAATTAGAGAGAAATGTTCACTCATTCAATCAATCTTAACTAGCTACTTAATTAATTATCAGCATTCAATATCATTAATTAAGGAATAAGCTGAACTCCAAGAAGGAATGCCTTACTGTTATATGCATTATTATTATTGAATATATGATGACTACATTAAGATGAACTTTGAAAAGAAACGCATGGATTTCAGAAAAATGACGAGAATTTTCAATATATTAAAATTAACAGGTCAATTTAGGTGATTTGCTTATGAAAGAAACTAAATTGATAGGTACAATTGGTTAGAATATTAATTTATTTTTTACTCAAACTTAATTCACTCATAAATTAATAAACATTTAAAACAAGAAACAGTATATCTCTTCTGAGTTGTATGGACAAAGAATAACATAATGTTTAGACATATATAAGAAAGTTTCATCAATGTCTATTGTGAATTAATTCTAAAAGCAAAGGAAATTACCTTAGAGTTGAAATCTTTTTTATTTTCAATATGACTTCTCAGTTAATTTTGTTATCTTTGTAAAACTCCGGGATTCGAACTGATTAACTTGCACAAATAAGCAAATAATCCAAACTTCTTTAAAATTATCACCCATTGACTTTGTTCCCCATTAACCATTTTCTTTTATATATTCATATCAAATTGTCAAAATATCTTAATTAGAAAACAGCTCATAACTAGACCATTGTGTTAATAAAATGAAAATGAACTAAATCAATGGTTGTCCTTGGTAACATCTAGAAGATAGGCATTACAAAAGTGAATGAATGAACTTTCTATGTTAATAACATATCTAATGAGCAGAGTAATTAAAAAATAAAATTTACCTAAGGAAACTTAATCATGTAAACTTTATATGTCTAAGTTAATACTACTTAAATTAGTTTTCCATAAAGAAATACAATTATGATAAAATTAATAATGTTGTTATTTTGGCATTTTATGTTAAACTTTTAAACTATAACTCTTATAATAAGTTAGTTTGAAAAAAACATCAATTTTAACTTCAATGTTTAGCAATTAACAGTGAAAAAGGGAGAGTGAATAACGACATGAACCTGAGTTCAGTCGTTAAATTACTTAAATATTTAAAATTAATTAAAATATGATCAGAAAATTATTCTCTAATGTAATAAGATATTAATAAATTGTTTCTAATGTGTTCAAATTTAAGAGTATAATGAACGATGTGTAAATATATAGAAGTTTAAAGACTATAAATATGTTCAATAAGCTTGTTCTATACGATATGTTACATTAGTTTCAAATTCAACCGACCAAATAGTATGGTAGAAGAATATTCATTGTCATAAGGTAATTTACATAAAAAATCTCTACCGAAAAGTCAACATTATGTAGATGGAATTGAATCAGCCTTAGAAGCACATGTAGAATACCTCCTTACATTTTTAAAAAATATTTTGCTACTAGTTCCCAATTTGAATCTTTAATGATTTTGACATTGAGTTGCTTAAGGTCATTTATTTATCTTATTCAGAGCAAAATTATATGCACAAAAAATCATCAAACAGAAAATGAATATTACTTTATATGAGTGTAACAGTGAAAAAATTCAATACAACCCTAATTCATATAATCTGATAATCTACAACGATAAGAAAAATTCTCAGTACACAATACTAAAATGTGTATTACGCCATCTACCAACAAATGGTAATTGTTTAATTCTTTACAATCGTTATTTTTTTTCTTTTCAATAATACTTGTAACATAAAATGATAGATAAATACTGTTCCATATATAAAAGTCAGCATAGATAATAGGAAACATGATTTATGTATTTAATTAATTTTAAACAGGAACAAATATTTGATGATTTACATGTTCTCATTCATTCAGTTATATACTTGTTTTTAGAATATTTGAATTGATGAGTGTCATGATGTGAAGCTAAAGAAAATTTATTATTTTATGATTAGTATCTGTTATCCAATAAGTAATTGAATACTGCTATTTCAATCAGACACTAAGCACATAAATAACAGCTTTCATTCGGTGTCAACAGGCTTATAGCTCGATATTCTGATATTTATTCTATTAAGACTAGAGTATCAGTTCCATAGACAAAATATCAGTTCAACCATTTCAATTATTTCATTAGACTATCAAATACATTGAGTCAATCTTTTCAATGCATCACGATGTCTCCGATTGTACGTTTTTGTAACTTGCATACCGAAAGGTATGTTATGCAATTAATTGACATAATGATCTGTTAAAACGAATAAAGAAACAGATAGATTGTTGAAATATCTTGATGGCAGCCCAGATATTCAAGCAGGCCGCCCAAGTGTCGGGTGATGTAACACTATCTGTTGCAGCAAACAAACATATAGAAAATTATAGTTACTACCTTTCCTGTAACTCATATACAACAATAGGGAGTTGATTTGTTATCTCCTAGATGTTCATACTACATTGTATTGTATAAAGTGATTACAAGCTAATTTTTTCAATACTTCAAGATGCAACTAATCAAAGTATTTTTTCTCATCCATATTATGAAGTTAGATGGACAGTATTGCCATTTCCAAAAATGTGATTAAGAAACTCGTACATAAAGCTTCTGACATTTATTTTACCATTACTCATAATGGATTTTTCACAACTTGATAGAATATTATTTTGTCATTGACATTTAAGTGTATGTTAAGATGTCCCATATCATAAATGAATACATATTCAAACATACACTTTCACAACCAAATCATATAAATCCAAAAAGCAATCGTTGAATGACCAGATATATTAAAGAATTGGATAATGACAAACAGACATGTACGTTTGGCTTTTGCTATCCACATCTTATTTTAACCAGTGCGATTCTCAAATTCCACCGCTTGAAATCCGGCGTGTTTCTTGTGAACTGGAATGTCATGAGGTCTACCATAGCAGTCTTTTTGTTAATTAACGTGGTAGTAAATTTAAACAATGGGTTGAAAACCAATTGCTTATTTCATAAGTACTATTCTTCCCGACAAGCAACTGGCTTGTGGAAGTAATGATGTTCGTTTATCCTTGATTTAAAGAAAAATTATTCAACTAAACAATTCAGCGAGTTGATTTTAAAATTACCACACACAAATGTAAACCTGAAATGTACAAAAAACTAGAACACACTAGACCGTTGCTCTCACGTACTTTAAGCATTCGGCCATTTCCGAATGTTAAGCCAAGCCCTATCATAACAACTCTTAACATTTCACAACTTATAATGCTGATAATAATAAGAAAAGTTCAATCAATCAGACAACCAGTTGGGTAAGCTCATTAAGAAAAATTTATTTATACGGTTAACTAATAAAAACCGAACCATTTTCTACAATGACAAGTTTCCCTATAAAAGTTGGACAATAAACAAACACTACTTAAAAGAGACTATGAATAACCCAAAATAATGTAAACACCTATTCACTGATAAAATTAGCTTACTCTCCATATTAATCAAGAAAAATGATTTGTTTATGTAACTTTCCTTTGTAATTTATTTTAAAATACTTGATTATGTGTGAAAATAAGAATGATAGCACCCATGGAAAAAATAATCTTTCATCTAATTAAGTTAAAAACTATAAGTCCAAGAATTTGATTTTCTGAAACACACAAGATCGTACAAATACTAACATGAAGTTTCAAAAAAGTTTTTTCCTCTGAGAAAATGATCAAGTCTTTAGATAGAGTATAGCAGAATATACTATTTACAGTACGTATTTAAAAAGGCATACAAAAAGTGAGGGTTTTTAATCTGAATTTGTAAATCTGTTTGGTTAAATTTTAAAGTCCAACTCAAAACTAAGTTCCTTAATCACTCCAATCGGGATCCATTGCGTTTGTTGGACACTTCAATGTTGATGCAAAATGAGACATCTTACTAGACTTTTGCGGACTATTCGTGCTTGTCTGAGATTCTGACTGATCTGTTTCATCTACATCTGGGACACACTGAGGAATAAAAACAAAAATATGAAATGGTTGATCAGTAAACAGTTTAGAAAGTTGCTGCGATAAAACAAAGAAGTGAAACACACAATGTGCAAAAACAATTGGGATACTGCAACGGACGTCAACAGCATTTTAGTCAAACTCCTGAAAACGAACACAGACGATAGAATTTAAGTACTGTGCATCTCCAAAAATATGAACTATTGGGCTGCAAACTACTGCTTAGTTTATGAACCACATGAAGTGAAATGCAATGACAAAACTAACAATCGATAACAGATGCTTCTAACAGCCAGTTTTCCTTCGTACTGAAAACATACGTGATAGGAATTTTATAAATTAATTTTGGTCACATTTGATTTGGGAAAAGGATAATCAATTCATATATATATATATATATATATATATATATATATATATATATATATATATATATATGTCATTTTAAGATATAGAAAACATGAAAGTGAGACAGCAGTTACCTGTAAACTGAAAACTAATATTGCGTATTATTCATAAATCTGATGACTAGGCAATTTTTAGTTGTATTACGGTCTACTGATCCCCAAGTTTTAGCTTAATTACTAATGAGCACGTGAAGAAAAACTATACATGTTGCCATAGTCACGTCACTTGAAAATCATCATAATTCAGAGTACACTTTCAAATTCAGTTCTGATCACAACCCTTGAAATTTAATGAAATTGTTAATAAATGAACTGACGTACGAAATGGATGTAATCCATTATTCTATTTCATCGAATGTTTATAATCAGTTGAGTATCAGTACTTTCTCTTTACAATCAATGCTCAGTGTAATAATTTAAAAAATACAAGATAAAGTGATAACTCGTTTCCAGTTTGGAAGAAAGTTACGAACATTTACTACGGTTATCATTTTGTTTTCAGATACAGATGTGTCACCATACTCTACGTGTATTATAAATCTGTGTTTGATCATTTAACAGCAACTGAGCAATACAGTTTTAAAAAGGTTCGTACTATATCATATAGCATAGAAAGTGGTGTTGCAGTCTGATTAAAATGTGATCATTGTCGAAAACCTAATAACTCGAACAAAAGATGTAAAAATGCAAGTTTAAGATGAAAGGCTAGTTCAAAATTATTGACCACGTGTGAAGAAGAGCAGAAAGTGTGGTAATCGTATCAACCAGTGCAGTTGTGGACTTATATCAATTGAGGAGATACAAGAATAAGAAAATGCAAAAACATGATATGTTAATAACTAATGGTCTGAATAATTTTGTTATTATTGAAAACAAATACCAGTACAAAATAGATACGAAAGCAATTATGCGCCACATATATAAGAAAGAGAAATTGTGAAGAGGCAGATAAAGGAGGGAGAGTATAGTCGAGATAGACAAATGAAAATAAGTGAACGAGGACAGTTCATAATAGGAAATTTAGTTCGGTTTTAAAAAATATACCCATAAGAAATTTCTTTCAGCTTAAGGAGGTCATCTCACTTTTACAAAAAGGAAACTGCAGAAAGACTTCATTGACTTCCCTTCCAGCACACATACGATAACGTCCCCAACCTCTGAGTTACACTAACTCTTGAACACTAACCAAGAAGTCGTGATGAACAGACAGATGCCAGCCTTATATAACTTTTCACTTTTTCTACCCAGTCACATAGATCACAAATAACACACTATGAGGAGATCGCTAAGGTAACATTCCTAACGCATGTCCAAGGCACCAGTCGGTGTTTCCAGATGGTGACAGAAACTGAATGATAGTCACTATACCGAAACACATTGACGAACTTCGAGATTTCGAACACCGGGTTGACACTAGACTTCAACAATCCTTCGGAGACAATGATCGTCAAATACATAGTCGCCAAACACACTCAAGTCAGTGACCATGGCTCAAAAGTAAGGAACAAAATTGCTCCAACCGATACGTTGTAAACCCGGTGTTTTACATCCAGGCTAATATTGTGACGGTGCCAATGATGAACTAAATTTCCATAAGCTCGTCTCAATTTACGTAAACTGGTCTTACCGGCTACGCCACCACCAGAACTTAAAGAGCTACCTAAATACACGAACTTTTCGACTACTCCTAACGTCTCACTGCAAGGAGTGAAGTCACAGAATCCCGACAGTTTTGTTAAAGCACTTTGTAATTAGAAGGTACAAAGTACAAGCCATACGTACGAACACTGACTGCCAACTTACTAAGTGGTCTGTATAACTTGAGTAGTATTTTATGGTACGGCAATAGTCATTCACATACTTAAGATAGGAAAGTCTTTCTCCAGGTAAAAGATCGATACTATCATCGCTTCTATTAGAGTTGTTTCAGGAAAATTATCGATGGCAAAGTCGAGGAGGAATGGTGTAATAGAGCAGCTCCTCCTAACCACCACTTCTAATAAGAACAGAGAAAGGTGGTTGTACGCCCTCACATTGCCCGAAATGTTTGTATACAGAGCCTTTGATATCTTGATCAAGTTCACAGATACACCCTTCTGCAACAGAAAATGACAGAGAGCCCCGTACGACGAATAAAAGACGTCTTTGATGTCATGGTGCTCTGACATTCGGAGGAGGGTGATGATCAATACATATAAGTCCAGAACGAAGATCAGTCTATTTCTAGCGAGTCAACCTGTCATAGGTTTTGAAAAGCACGTGAAGTATGAAGGAATACCATGCAACTGAAGGCTTTGTTAAGTGAAGTATGTAAAATAGACGAAAAACGGAAGTTGGGATGATGTAAGTTCAGATTATATGCCTTGGCTTAAGTAGATTTACTTCATATATGATAGTGAAAGTTTCCATTTTATTTTAATTTAATAAAATTCAACTTCAACTGTTTTGCCGATTTTAGCTTTTCTGATTCTTATTTGATGGGATATGGTAAAGCATGAAGACTGTTTGATACACGTAAGTTGCGAAGTAAAATACGAAGAAACTACATAAATATCAATAATTTTTAAAGCAAATCTTACGAAAAACTCGACAAAAGCAACTTCACCGTCTGAAAGATTGATCATGTACTGGATCGACAGGAACCCTCGGTCATTGATACGCAGCGAAATACGGCTAGCCATTGACAGTGCTCGGCTTGTTGCAAGCCGTAGAAGCGAAAGACGAAATCGAGCTATCCGAGTACTTGCAGCTGCAGATTCAAAAACTTCTACTTGATCAGATGACCGAGGTAAGTCAAAATGCATAGTTCCAGCGAAACCATACGTCGTTAAACGAAGACGAGACTGAACAGCCGGAGGTGGTATTATAGCAACTTCCAAAATTTCGCTTGAAGTATCAAGTTCGTTGAACGCTTCACGCATACATTCTGACTGTAAGAAGTGAGAAGACAATTAAGAAAAACGGTATACTAGTCTACGAGGTTGGCATAACATTGACTGATCTTTCTTTGATGTTAATAGCAGATCAAAAAAGAACAAGATCTTTTTTGTACGGTAAGTTATGATTTGTTGGGGATGTAGCTCAGTAGTAGAGCGCTCACTTAGCATGAGAGAGGGCTCGAAATCGATACCCGGCACTTCCACATTGCAACAACCAGTTGTCACACGTTTGCCCCCAAATGCCCTGGTACAGCCGAGAGTGGGGAGAGTTCGCTATTCCTCTCCAAATGCTCTCACATGGCCACGAATATATAGCCTCTGCCAGGGAAGTCCTACTCACTGCCTTCTCGTGGCAAGGGTGTTGTTTACGAAAATGAGGACGAAAAGCGGATGTCCGGCGCTATAACCGGGTTGGTGGACACGGAGAGTCCACCTAGGGGAGTTGGAAAAAACTTATTCCAAACCAATGTTGCACGTGGGCTCCAGAATCCTGCGAGGACAAATGGCGTATGAACCAATCGTTTGTCATTGGCTACCATGGGACTGCACCTCCTTACGATGCTCCACTGCCTTATGGATCAGACCTTTAGGTCGAAGGCTCCGGGTGTGGCCTTCTACGAAAAACAACTGCTTCGGTTTGGGTACTCGGGCAGTATCACAACCCTTACACAAATCAAATGAGATTTGTGTGGCGTACATGTATCTGGTGCCCCCTTGTACCAATATCTATGTGTTCAAATAAATAAATAAATAAAAGTTATGATTTAATGGATTTTATTGTAATATCTTTAGAAGTTTCTAAAAAGTGAGTTCATACCGACCATTGTAGATGATTTGGTATCTTGCAGATTACCCGATATGTAGCTCTATAGTCTACCATGCGCCCATTATCAAATAACTGTGACTGGAGGAAGACAGTAATAGTCCGTCATTTTTCTACTGGGATTAATATATAGATATGTGAGTTCAAGTGTTTCAAAGAGGACTTTGTTCATTTAAACGATTTACCCCAAAAGACTAACTGCATTTATAAATATACACCGGTGTGGAAATAATAAAAATAATACTTTAAGAACATGGCAGTAAGTATTTAGTAACCCTACATCTGACTCCAGGCCGATCGTATGAATGAATGTTATTGAAATTTACATATCGTCATTCGTCGTATAAAATGATCGACTGAATCCGCGTTAGTGAATAACGGAATTAAATAAGCCAAATACAAGAATAGACTTCGAATATGTATATTTCATGCACTCATTATCGATTTGAATATGAAATCATGGAGACGAAACAAAGAGGGGAGAGAGAAACAGGATAAGGCAAGTGAACTACTAAAAGTACACGTAGCTGAAACAGATAAATTTATCGCCTTAAAAAAATTGTACAAAAAACAGAATTCTCTCTGTAGTAGCTTCATTATATGGTTGATGTTAATTATAGAATAGAAACACTTGAGACCCAAATATGTATTTGAAACATATCTTTTCTGTTCATTAAAAACGTTCGTGAAGTATGGTTTCCTAAACATCCTAAGCGGTAACTTAATAAATTTAAACTGTCGTATCAAGGCTAGACTACCTTACTTATAACAGTACAGATCGTTAGTGAAAACGTCCAGGCAAAATACTGACTTATTCATCCAACGGAAAGCTACTAAGTAGCCATATGCTTTGAGACATCTTATGGTAGCGAAAAACCATTTCGGAGGTGAAGAATATGTGAAGGTGGCAAGTATTTTATCATAGGAATTCCCAAGCGGTTTTCGTGTTGACCAAAACCACTGGGCGAGCATTATTGTGTAATGTTTTAGTCAGAGAAGGTAAATGAATATATAGTTTTGAGCCCCAACCAACTCAGTCGGTTGGCGGATGGGCCTAGATACCACCAATTATGGCGCTTTATGATAACTAGAAGGGAAGTATGTTGAGGGACGTTTATGAGTGTCCGGGTCAGGACATGTCAACAGTCTATGAGACTATTAATTGTTGGCTTGAACTATGTTCGAAGTTACATGCTTTTGATATAAGGTCCTTAAAGTGACTATAACCTACGGCATGGTGTTACTCCAAGGTCTTCACTAGTCACACTCTAGGTTTTGCATCGCTCTAATTTTCTACCACCGTATGTACAATTTCTATTTCTTGTTGACCGCGGTGTATAAATGTAAGGTACAAAATTTTGGTATACATTTGTACCAGGCATTACGTTAAAAATGACAGATGACCAGTACTTATAACAGTAATAATATCATAACAGTTAGCTTAGAACTAACCTTCATTATGAATTTATCTGAAATATTACTGCTTGAAAAATCAAAGTCCAATATCTCAAACGCCTCCATAGTTTTAATGTTGCATTCTGCTACAACTCCATTTTCTTCTAGTCTGTATACAAATAATAATTTAAAAGTAACTTACAAAATGTTTAAAGCACTCCCGTGAGTTTTATATGATAAAATGAATGAAACTGATGGTCCTTGAACTGAAGTCCCAAAAATAGAAAGGCAGTCCTGAAGGACCTGAAGAAGTACTAGATTCTACTTACAACAAGCACACCAAGGTTTGTCCTAAACGATACTATATCCTTCTTTACAGAGTATTCACGGAAAAGTGCTGAATGCAGGAAAGCGTTTCCTTGAATGCATTTTGAGTCCTCTACTGTCACCTTAATACCATTATTTGTGGCAAATATTGTGGCAAGCTACACGCCAAGGATGACGCAATTATCGAGACATACATCGCGGAAGTGCACTGCCTTCAATATATTGATGATTATTTTTGCATTATCCATTGCCAGGTAGATAAGTGGTTCGTCCATTGTATTACTAGTACAGGTTTTATCAATAACCGGAAGTTAACAGTGGATACAGTAAGAACAATTAGATCTATGGAAAAGAAAACAAGCAAAATGTTGTAACTCATTTAAGCGAATACTGATATATTTCGATCAAAAACACACAAAAGTTATAAAATATAAGACACCACAACAGGCAGGAGTTGAAGAATTGTTTGTGGTCACGTGAATAGCGTAGCGCAGGAACATAAATAGTAAAGAATGGATGTCAATGCTTCGACATACTCATATTCAGAATCTTCGAATTCGACCGTGTTCGATTGACAATCAAATCAAAGAGATGTCTACAAACGCATGGTTGTTTAGGTGATTTTGGGCAATAACTTCACAACGTCCGTTTATGGATAAACAGGTAGTGGTAAAAAATTAACGATGACTAGTGAACGATTTAACAAGCATTGTCATGACAATGCGTAGAAAACATACTGTCAGGAATGATTTTATATGCTTTAAGCCACTTATTTGCCACTCTACAATCGAAAAGTCTTAAATTTTCTGTCCATATACTAAGCTATATAGCTTTTGTTTGTTAAATTATATAATTTGTTCTTTTAGCTAGAAATGTTCTGAATCCTACAATATACTATCATGTGAGTTGTAAAGGTTTTATTAGTATAAAAAAATCGAAGGGGGTTACTTTCGAGTGGGGATTATGTTACATGTCATTAAGCAAAGACTACTTACATGCCAAACCGTCTTTACCCCCAAGTCATTTGATTTGGCCCCATTTTCATTGTTACTGTCCTTGTAGAGCAGATAAACGCAATTGCTAACATGGTATTAACACATGTTAGGAAACTGCTGTCAGTATATCATCTCTATAGAGATGAGAATTTCGAAAAGGCACGTAATGCTAAAATTCGAAATCGTGAACTTGGATTTTTCCAATCGATGCGCACCATTTAGAAATACATGGTATTCCTCCCCAGTGAGTCAAAGTTTTAGTGGTAAACAAATCCCCAAAAACAATAGCTCTAAGTCTTAGACATTTGATGCTCACTACATTAGTTTTAATGGACTCGCATAGGTGAAGGCGCTCGGTCACTCATCCGTACCAGATCACGAGTTGGAACGCCATAATCAAATTCTCCAGCATCCGTTAGTCAGTTTGGATCAGTCACTTCTCTATACACTGATAACCTATCAAACATCTTCGATCCACGTCGCATCTGACTTGTGATTTCACTGAGTGGGCAGGATTCAATTATAGGTGTTACTGATTAAAGTGTTGCAATACTACAAATACATGAGGCATCCTCATTGGTGAGCCAAACGTCATCTGGTACAACTGCTTGTAAACTGTGAATCTGTACCTTTTTGGAACTTCACATATCATCGCTGTACTTTGATTTTTACACATTGTGATTTTTTTGTGTTTTTGGAATCTTTTTCCCTCGTTCATTCCAGTACTTCATATTCGCCAAGACAGAAGAGACTCCTAAGGTGCTTTAGATCAAGACTCTTACACCACCCTTAATCCGGCTAATTCCATTCTGGCAGGACAACAGCGAGGCATGATTCTGCTATGCAAAGCCTGACTTCTACGAGCACGGTGTGACCAATACACGTGCTCAGTTCCTCGCCGTAGTCCAGGCACTGCAGCGCGTATCGATGCGGTACATCACGCCAAATATGTTTGCCAGTGATGTTTAGGAACCTTATGAAGTTCTAAAAAGATCTATTCTTAAACGCAGAGACCTGACCGATCGACAAAGTTTAGATCAACTCATGGAGCACATTGATCTTCAACATGGCTCAGCAACGTACATGTTGATCAGAGGACTCTCAACGATAACCTGTTTAGACAATTTCCTTGTTTAAGCATAATCAATAGGTGTATGCAGTGTCTGTTTCGTTTAAAGACAACTCTGTAGACCATCTGACTGCACCTGCCGACCGAATTCTAGAGGTCACCGAATCTTCTAACGCCGAGGTTTTTTCGGTCAAAGCAAAACTTTAGACGACACGAAATGACGTTACGGAACTCTGTCATACTCTGACACGTTACCTTCGTATTCGTCATGATCACAAATTTCTCGAAGGAGCTCTTCACGAAAACGATCTGTCTTTAGACCACAAGAGACAGATGCTGATGCTGGTGTTATAATAAGTACGGAAAATCTTTTGGAAATGACAGAAAATCCTGCACTTTTCCGAATTCCGAACCGACCGATACGTAAATGATTCAGGAAAATTCCCAGCCGGGAGGCGCTAACGGCAACCGTAGTCGGCGAACGTAGCTCTCTGTTATACGTCACTGATGTGGTTATGAAAGTTCGCTACCTCGTGGACTCTAGCGCAGAGTTAGGCGTTCTACCTGCGAATTCTAACGACCGACTGCAAGAACTGGTTTTAAACGTACAAGTGGCAAACAGAAAAATGATCGTCACATATGTTGGCCGATTCGTTTATCTTAATATTTGTTTGCGCAAACCTATCCACTGGATCTAAGTTGTTGCAGATGGTTCTGAGCCAATCATTTGTGTAGACCTCTTACAACAACATAATTTACTCATCAACACGCGCGATTGGAGGCTAGTAGAAGGAAATGCTAATTTATCTGTTTGTGTGACTTTTTTTCCGGTTGTAGATTATCCCACGATCAATCCGTACTACTAACAAATGATCGATAAGCATGCAAAGTGGAACTGAATTTGCCATGTGTGTTCAGCAATGTTACATATCACATCACAACTACAAGATCACCTGCATTCTCGAAGACGAGCCGACTGGCTCCTGAAAAGCTGAGGTTGGCTATAAACGAATTCGACCACTTGGTGGACTTGGGAATCATTCAGCCATCAAACAACCCACGAGCATCTCCATTGCACATGGTCCCTAAAAAGGACAGCAATGATTAGAGCACAACAAGTGACTGTCAGCTATTGAATGCGAAAACTATTCATGATCGTTATCCGCTGCCTCACATTCACAATTTGAGTTACTTTGAATGGTACAACTGCTCTTTTCGAAAATCGACTTGGTTAAAGCATATAACTGAATCCCAATGGCTCCTGAAGACATTCCTAAAACTGTTATCACCACTCCTTTCGGTATGTACGAGTATATACGCATGCCTTTTGGCTTATAAAATACAGCCCAAACCTTCCAAAGTTTCAGCGATGACGTTTGACGGGGTTTTAACTTTGTATATGCGTATGTTTATGACTGCTTGACTCCAAGTCCGGACAGAGAATCTCATCTCCAGCATCTGGGCCTTGTTTTCGAACGACTACAACAGCGCGGCATTACTGTAAACATTCAGACATGTCAAATCGGAACCGACACCTTCGATTTTCTCGGATATTATATTGATGCTCAATGCATCCGACATCTGAAAGGCAAAGTGGCGGCCATTCTGGATTATCCGGAACTGATAACAATCAAGCACCTGCGTACGTTTAACACCTAGGAAGTTTCTACAGATGGTCTATGCCAAATCGCGTGTCCTTTATGAGACCTTTAACAGACCAACTTCGTGGAAACTCAAGATCAGTCAATTTGGACGATACTGCGAGGAAAGCATTATCCACAATTGAGGAAGTTATCACAAAAGCAGCCCTGCTTGCACACCACGATACAGAAGAACCCATTAGTATCTCAGTAGACGCATCCGACTCGGCAATCAGGGGTGTTTTACAACAGTGGGTCAACCATACCTGGCCACCTTTGGCATTCTTTTCAAGACGGTTGCTGGACAGTGAACCGAGGTATAGCGCAGTTGGTAGTGAACTCCTGGCCATGTACTCTACCGTGCGGCACTTTCAACAATCTGCTAAATGCTGAGAATTTACTCTCTTCACCGATCACAAGCCTCTTTCGTTCGCTTTAAGCTCATCTTCAAACAAATACTCACCTCGCGGGTCCCGACAACTAGACTACATTTCGCAGGTTACTTCAGACATTCAACATATTTTCGTAGCAAACAATGTAGTTACGGACTCCTTGTCTCGTATAACTTCCTTGAACAGTTCCCAGGGAGTCAATCTTCTTAAACTCGCCCAGCTTCTAAAAAAAGTCACTGATCTTCAGCACGAGTTGTTTTTAGCAACCCTAAAACTGCATACCAAACAGATGGGTACAGATAAGCAAACCTTATTATGCGAAGCATCTAAAGGTATGGTTGTCCGATCGTGCTGAAACATTATCGACGGAATGTCTTCAATACGTTGCACGAGCTTCCTCATCCAGATATTCGTGCAACCATAAATCCCATAGCGGAACGATTTTGCTGGCCTGATATGAACAAAGACGTAAGGAAGTGGGCACGCTCCTGTGTAAACTGCCAGAAATCTAAGGTGACTGGGCACAACAAATGCCCCTTAGGTTCATATAAAGTTCCTAATGCTCGTTTTGACAATGTTCATCTGGATTTGGTAGGACCTTGACCAGACTCAAATGGATACTCTTACCTTTTAGTCCGCGTAGACCGTTTCACTCGATGGCCAGAAGCAGTATTCATCAAAGATATTACTACTGAAGCAATGGCCCGCGCCTTCGTCGAACGATGGGTGGCAAACTTCGGCTGCCTTTTGCGGATGACGGGCGATAGTTCGAATCCTGAATTTTCCGTTGTCTAACTACACTATTATTAATCACTCGCGTCCGAAAGATCACCCACCACCTACAAGCATACGGGTTGGTAGAACACTTTCACTGACAACTAAAAGCTTCATTATCAACTGCAAACGTTTCACAGTGGACTGAAGCCACTCCACTCGTCTTATTTGGTATTCACTATGCAATGAAAGCTGATATTGAATAGACTGCAGCTCAACTCCTTTGTGGAACAACACTTCGACCTCAGGGAAATTCGTGGATCCTTCATCTTGTCCAAGGAATATGGATCTAAACTCCTAGACGAGTAGGCTTATAAATGCGAAGCGTCCAGTTAAACCTGTTTCCAATCGAATTCAGTCGACTGACATTTCGTTCAACTTGTCCTACAATGTTGTACACACATCTTCGTACGTCGCGACTCACTTCGAAGACCTCTCCAAACGGCACATGAAGTACCCTTTAAAGTTTTTTACGGCATGAGCCAAAGTACTATGTAATTTATAAGAACGGAACTAATAATATCATCAGCATCGAAGCTGTGTATTTAGAAGGAAACCATATTCATGTCGATTTTCCTTCGGTACAATCGAAAGACGTGAGTCTCAAATTTACGATACCTCACTCGATAATGAACAGTCACGATGATACTTCGGCGGTATCTGACAACCGACTGAAAACAATGTGTGCTGTGGAGAGGGTAAGTTCTTCAGAACGCCTAAATCACCACTGTACGTGAGACACTAAATAACATTTTGTTTCGTTTGGAACTTTCATTGTATTATGTAAAAAACAATGTCTAATATGTTTATATATATATTTCAAAAAAAAGATTTTTCATTTGCTAATATGTTTGCCAATACTGAATATTTGATTTTTTTCAAAACTGATAACCATTCTGTAGCAATCATCTTTACGCAATTGCGTGTTTACGAGTTTATTTTACTTTTTTCTCCCGCTTTATGTCTTCGCACACATACGAGCGTAATTCAATATACACTTATATTCATTTCCTGCTTTTCCGGGACGGCTGGAAAAGATGAAAAAATGACGATGATAACTACTTGTAACACATGACCCCTTATATTGAGGAAACACGACCAGACGCTGCCGAAAAAAAGCTATCAGAAGTGTCTGCCAATTACAAACTCGTTGGGTTTAAACATTTAACTGACCAGGTTTCAAGGTTCTTATTGAAGCACTGGTGAAGAGTGAGATGTAGAAGTAAATAAATACCAAAAATCAATAACTCTGTAAGTCTTCGACATTTGGCGCAGACCACATTAATTTTATTGCACTCACCTATCTGAGGACGCTCGGTCACGCATCCACACCATATCACAAGTGGATTTACCGTACTACCCATCAGTGGAGACTGCTAGCCAGCCTAGAACAAACACGTCTGGGCATACCGATGGCATCCCAGATATATTTTTGAACCCCTTCACTCCTGATTTCTGATTTGACCGGGTTGGTATGATCCGATTACAAATGAATACTAGTAAAGGCGTTTTCAAATTGCGAATATATGTGGCGTCCTACTTACATAAGATGTATTATTGACAATAGTTAAAAGGGATATATTTTCTGTTAACATAGCTATTCCTCCTGCTCTATGCTACTGTGTTCTGTTGATTATTAAGAATGTGAAATTTTCAGAGTCAAGACTCCATTGTCTACACATCGAGTCAACCACGTTTCTGTGGTGGTTATCATATCCTACATGGTAGTTTATCTGTCTTCTGCGCGCGTTTTTTGAACGGGACGTTTGGTCGTACCGTGATATACATCTCTCAAACTTGCTGTGCTCTTACGCAATAAAAGGTTAGTTACACGAAGCGTAAACAGATCTTTCAGTAACTGCTTACAACAGACTCAGCAAGTTTTGTCATGGGTGAGTATGTGTATTGTGCAACACAGATGCTGAAGTTTTGTTGAGCAGCCTCATTGTACTATTGACAGGTCTGCGGAATAATTAGTCAGCAATCTAGAAAAAAGATAGTCCTAAAACGGGTAGACGAACAACGACGCGCAACGAAAATGAGAAGAGGGACATCTACAGCGCTACTATCGATGGAGCATATAATAACATTGGTGATGATGTGCTGAAACTCAGCGCCATCATAAAATCGATGGAAATAGACTCCTTCAGCAGACTTGGGTTTCCCAACACAGGATCTGTGAACTCAACGGTGGTTCGCAAAAACTCTGTGGGTGATTAGAACCCCCCTAACAAAGTTAAGAAGGACCAGGTGTCACCGTCTAGGGAGATAAACATCCCAAATATTTTAGGGAAGTCGACTGATGATTTCGCTGTACACTCTACCCCCAAGAATGTCCATCCGGTCAGCAGAGCCAAGGAATCGGAAACGCTCTTCAACATTCAAACAACAAGGTACTCAACATAAACGCATCTGAAAACGCGGGAAAACGATAGCGGTTCACCATAATTCCCTCATATTCATGAACCTTAAAGACAGCCCTGACCCACCCTCAGTTTGCAGGATAAACATGACAGGATGCTCTGAGAAGAGTTAAACAAGAAGCTCGAACATCCCAAAATAAAACCTTCGACGGTCACACAGATTATTTGGGGAATGAACTCTAAGCATCAAAATCACCTTAGGCTACTTCTTATAACACTCACTAATGCTACAGACGTAGAGCATATCTCACTAGTTCGTCAACCACTGAAATCAGATGGGAATGTAAGTATACTGCCTGGTATACTGTATTCTAAGCGCACCGTCACCTGGAACATTCCTGAGGAATCTCGAGGATGAAATATCACTGCACAAGGTTTATGGGGAATCACGAACCCTGACCCGCTTTACTCGCCTCGGATTCACTCACGTCAAGAATCTAATGGATTCTAATCTTGGGGGTGAAAACTCTACTGGAGCTCACTTCTTCAACCTCATTAGGGATCAGGCATAATTCGAGAATGTGAAATCGGTAATTGGTTGGAAAAAATCAAACGCCATAGCGCTTAGACTATGTATTTACAAACGAAGAATACCTAGTTGACAACCCCTCAATTCCGGCTCCTTTGAGGGGAAGTGATCATGCCGCCATTGCATTTAGCTTTGTCAGCAAGACTGACATAAAACATCCCACCAATAACCGGCGCTGGAATTTCAGACGGTTGAATGTGTCAGCTTTACAGGACAATACACAACAGGTGAATTGAGAAATTCACCTTCAATTTGATGTGGATGCTAATTGGGATTTCTTACTGCACACGATCTCATATGCTACAAATCAGTCTCTTCCTCATATGGTCCCCATAATTCACAAGCAACCTACAGTCACCAAGATCTGGCTATGGAATGTCCTAGTGGGATCCCCCAGTCTTCAGTACTAGGACTTCTTCTTTTCTTGATTTATCTAAGCGATCTTCCACAACAGGGATCGTCTGATGACGTGAAACTTTGGAAAGAGATACGCAACCAAGAGGATATACTGGCAATTCAGGAGGATCTGACTCGACTTCAAAGTTGGGCAGATGATAACGGATTTACCTTGGGCATTTCAAAGACTGAAGTAGTCCATCGGAGACATATGGCAGACTGAAGTTACAACTTTGAAAACTCCTCTTTAAAAGTATCCCAAGTTGAAAAAGATTTGAGAGTGCTGGTACCCTACGATTTACACTTTTTCGCAAAGTGTGACAGAATTGCCTTTCGAGCAAAACTTGTACTGGTGACAGTGAAGCACATTTTTCACCAGTTCGACTGAAGAACTTTCCAAAATCATCAACAGTTTGATCCTTCCACATTTAGAGTACGGAAACATTATTTTCTCCCTCACTCCAAAAGGATAAGGACATTCTCAAGCGTATCCAACGGCGAGCCACGAAACCAGTTCGGGGACTCAAATTCAGGCTTTATGAAAAGCGCCTGCATTCACTAGATCTTTACCAATTAGAGTACATGCGTCTGTAGCGTGAAGTGGAGTCGCGATTGACTATGAACACCACTACAAGGAGACTACGTGCCATTTAACCAATAAGATCCCCGTGCGTCAATATCAGAAGACAGATTATGGCTGTAGTCGAGATGTAATTGTTGGCGATCTCGTGGTATCGAAAGAGTACCGAGATCGTGCCAAAGGAGTACAAGCGTGGTTACTAAGCGTAACCGAATTCGTACAAGTTCAAAGTCAACGAGAGAATAATGGCTACCATTAGCACAGTTAAGCAAACGAGCACAGTAAAACAATCATTGGTACAATTGGTTGTAATAATAATTGTTTTCATTGAATCAATCTCGTTCTGTTGACAAAAGTAGGTCACTACACGTCGTAGAGGTGATCTAATGGCTTACAGTATCCTTAACACTTCTGGACATTTCCTTATACAACTACTTAAGTTTAGCTTCAACACAAACCCAAGGGGCAGCATTCAGAAACTGGAGACACAATATAGCAGAAAGGACTATAGACACACCATCTACTCCTTACGAGTAGTCAAATGCTGGAATTCGCTGCCGTTGATCTATTCCAAGCGACTTCCTGAGTCCTCCAAGAGGAAACGTGACATATTCCTAAGGACTAAGGATAGTATCTTGCTACGATTTATCAACCTCTTTTTCTTTTTTATCGTTACCATATCTAGGGAAGTCTGTTAAGCGAAGGCTTCTCCTATTCCGTCCACAACCATTTGAACCATGTTGAACACAGCCCCAATCGCTTGTTAAGCAAGCTTAATATATCGATGTAAAAGGTTTGGATTCCACTTAAATAAGTGCGTGTCTCACCCAAAGTGACTCCTGCATCATCCTTTGTCGAAGTCTCATAACCCGGAAAGTTATAATTCTAAGGCCTCTTTCGTCAATATCTTATCTTTGCTGCGTTATTTTTCAGTCTAACATTCCTCATACAGCCAACGAGCGAACAGTCTTTGTGAACAAAATTTTCTTAGCCATTTGATCAATTCTGTAGTATTGAGTCCTTCCTAATGTAAAATTTAAATGCCACCTTTTGCAGCCTCTATTGACTTCTTCAATTTAATCCAGCTACTAATTCTGTCAACGTTTAACACGTATAAAAGAGAAGGATCTTTGCATTAACGATGGTTCAGTTAGATCATTTGTGATCCCTTTCATTCAAAGCTCAAACCGACACTTAACTGAGCATAGCTGCATCTACGTATTTGAGCCTCCAAGTTCAAGGTCTCCACTGTTTAACCTTTTACCACGTCAATTTCACTTTGCCGGGTTGAACGAAGTTGTTGTCAAATTAGGCGTGCTTGTCATAATTCTCTTACTTTTCGATGGTGAGTCTTTCATTACTCCATGTCAAGTTTTTTTCTGCCAGATGAATCCTCTTTTGTACAGGCCACCACCTAATCCACATTTTCCGATGATGCCATATTTACCTGGTCCTTTACCCCAGAGGCGTAAGTTCTGGTTTTGTTGGTACTACGAAATTAGGGGATATTCAGGAAGAGGAAGATTTGGCCAGTGTTGCCCTGCAAGTCCAGAAAAAACGGTTTTATGTCGATGTCAAGAAAAATAGAAGAGGGATATTTATGAAAATCGCTGAGGTTTGGTATACTTTAAACGTGATGAGAAAGTAGGTCAGTTCCGACGGTCGAAAAGCCAGAATTCTTCTGACCCTGCAAGCTGCCGTAGAAATAAAAGATAAACTAAAAGATCTCATTGATGTTCTTGAAGAGATCAAGTCAAATGATGAAAGTTCAGGTGCTCAAAACCCAGATGCAAATAAAACTACAGATTCACAGCCCTCAAACAGCCTCATAAAGTCTCATATAGTCAACTATCCGTACAGACGCTATTTCCTTGACCTTAAACGCAACAAAAGAGGTCATTTTCTCCGTTTAACAATGCTGTCAACTTTGAACAGAATACAACTTGCTATTCCTTCTCAGGGCATGCTAGATTTGTATAATGCCATCAATGACATGTTGGGGAAATGGTGGGATGGTTCAGAAGCAAATGATAGCAAATGTATGTTCCGAAATTTCTTACTCTTAACTCATATAAAGCTGTTAGTTTACCGGAGTCAAAGTCCCTAAGGTTTGACAATCGTACTCTGTACTTCGACTCCTCGTTCAATCGATTTGGAACTTACCTTCGTATTTCAGAAGTCCGAACAGCATCTAGAACTGCAATTACGATACCAGGTCGTTCGCTTTCACGCTTCAGAGATATTATCAATGGATTAGCTGAAGATTTGTCGAACGTTAAGGTAACTGTTTAACTGTTACTATCTAGATTCACAGGTCACCAAAAATTCTGAGGAGCATCCATCTAGTAATGAAGTTCCCGATACTCCTGACAATTCTGAACCAAGTGAGCCCCTTGTAAATGGCGAAGTTTCGTGAGCTTCGCGACAACAAACTTCATCTCTTGTATTTGACTTCAATACCTTCAATGAGTAAAATGCACAATTATTATAAATATCTTCTCTGGTCCATTTGTTATTTTTCATCGACTCTGGAATTTGTTTGACGACAGGTTGCCATCGGTACATCTTTTACTAACGATCAGCCGTAACTTCGTCAGTATTAGTCAATATTACCTATTTATTGTATTATCTGAGGACACGAATATTTCATTGTTTCAGTTTCGGGTTGCCTCCGACTAGTAGCTTACATTTAATAACTTCTATGTCCAGTGGCTTGTAATCGGTAACTGTGTACTCGGTGTAATTTAGAATTAGATATTTTCAATTACTAAACTGGTCATATGTCCGTCCTATTGTTTTGTACATCCAAGTCTCACCTATTGTTCCTCTATTTAGGGTCTTTGTAAACGGGCACTTGAATAACACATTGGAGAATATTGAATACATTATCATCTAGTTTACATTAAGACGTTTGCTACAAGTAAATAAGATTTACTCGGAAGACAGCTTTTAAAGTACTTCTTAAAAGCTAATTGAATGAAAACATGTGATTTTGCGGACATTGTAAGGCCAATTTTAACACTGTATGAGACAACCAAATGGCACAAATATTTTTAAATAGTTCTGTTACATTCGAAAGTTCAAGTGTTCGATTTGTTCTTGTTAGCTGATTGTCATATTCATGAGGATTTTGTCATTGAGCACAGAGTGGCTTATGCACTTGAAGAATTTACCCTCCAGCCGACTTTAGCTGTCAGTTTAAGCTAGTTAATTATTCTTTGTTCTTCCTTATTTTTCTGCCTATAGCTCGGAACCGATTCCGACCTAAATTTCATTGCATGGTGCAGTGTAGTTTTTTCCTGGTTATCATGTATCAGTTTTCTCTTAAAACTTTACAAGTGTGTCCACAGTGGAAAAGCATACCGGGAAAGTATATAAACCATTTAAAAGTCCTTTGCTCGTTCACTATTGGCGAAGTTAGAGTTTATGACCGAATGCCATCAGAATTGGCAATTTCAAATGATTTTCATCAGGGTATTCTTTCGTCCCTTTTCATTTTTATTTAACCTAGTAGCATGTTTTTATAGATAACCTGTTTGTCGTGTCGTCTATTATTCACTAATCTCATTACCAACAGTTGATACCCGCTTGAGACTTTTTTTAAAAATGTAAACTGTTTCCTCAGAACTGTTCTGGTTCAACGCCAGTGGGGCCATTCGGGGTTAATTAATACGACACAGATCGTTTTGCTTATCCTGTAAGTTTTTTTATCTCTTAGATTTAAATTATTAACGAAGTCCCGGCAGGTGAAAAAGTTCTGTGGATCATGGAAGCTGTCCACCTGCCTATACAAGATACAACAATCCACTATATTGCCTAGCGGTTGTGATGCAGCATTTTATAGTGGGAGATAAGTATTTAATCACGTATATAAAACACTGGTGACACAATTGTTTGTAATGATGGTTAAACAAAGGGTACTAGGTGAAGATGTCTAATTAGTTGATTAAGTCACTAACGGTCATCCAGTCGGCCTTCGGAATAAGAAGTATCCTTTTCCATGACGTGAGAAGCTGTAAAGTCCTACACACTAGTACACGTCTGGCAAGATACGAGTTCATTCTGAATACTCAAGCCTCTTCCTTAGTTTGTTGGTCTCGTTTAAATAAATATTTTTGACCTAATGTCCCCCTTATGTCGTTTGTACCTCTTCCAACACCTTATATTTACTCATTAATGGGACTCATTATTTTGCCTAGTCCTTGCATTCCATCGTCGAATTCATTGGAAATCTAACGAAGCTAGCTGCAAAGCAATGATCTTACAATTTCAAGGTTATTAGGAGAAAGGCATATTAAATGTTGTAGTTGCATTTGTACGAATTATCGATCTGCTACGGTTACCACCATAAAAAATATCCAGACTCGACTAGAATTAGTTTAAAAGGTAGATTTACCAGTTGACTGCATGCTATTTTCAGTACCACTGACAGCCATCCTGAATTATTTGAAGCTATTCAATAATGAGTAGAACCTATTTACAACAGCTGCTTGACTACCATTTGGTTACTACTCAGAAAACATCCATATTTAAAATGTAAACATCTTATTTATTTTTAAAAGAAGTTGGCGTGAAAATAATTGTAAGTGGTAAACTAAGTACAGAAAATGCAGTTCGGGAGGAACTGATAAAATTAACTATGTAAGTTTCACGAACCTCATGATTCAACAGGAAGATAAAGAACTAATGCAAACATGCCACCTTGAACGATTTCTGGTCTCACTACCTAAGGCCTCAAAACATATGATTTACTCGTAAATTGTAACCGAAATGTTTCCAGATAATGATATTTACTGATCTTTATTAAATATTGGTCTTGCTTAGATTTGGTTCACTGAACAAACAAGTCGTTTGTAATTAATACTGCTTAGTACAAGTTAAAACTTGACTAACTAAACAGCCAAGTTGATTTATTATAGCGTAATAAAAACGGTTCAGTTAACTCTCACCAATATATTTGGAAATGTCAAACTACCGATTTACATGGCTGAAGCCAACTCTTGTTTTTGTATCACCCCCAAATGCCCTGGTATGGCCGAGAGTGGGGTGGGCCTGTCCTCCCTCTCGAAATGCTCTCACACGGCCACACGTATACAGCCTCTTCCAGGGAAGTCCTACTCACTGCCTTCTCGTGGCGGGGGTGTTGTTTACGAAAATGAGAGGACGAAAAGCGAATGTCCGTCACTATAACCGGATCCCAAACCAATGGTGCATATGGGCTCCAGTATCCTGAAGGAACAAATGGCGTATGAACCATTCGTTGGTCACCGGCTACCATGGGACTGCATCTCCTTACGATGCTCCACTGCCTTGTGGGTTAGACCTTTAGGTCGAAGGCTCGGGGTGTGGCCCCTAAGAAAACCATCTGCTTCGGTCTGGGCACCCGAGCAGTATCACAGCCCACATAAAAATAAAATGGAAATTTGTGTGGCGCATATATATTTGGTGCCTCCTTGCACCAATATTTATGTGTTCAAATAAAATAAAATAACAAAATTAATAATTTCCTAATCATACTTAAAGAATATTTGTTAAATAACAAAGAATTTTGCACGGTAATAGACTAGTTTAAGCTATCATTTCTTAATGACAATAAAACCAACCACGAAGTCAAACATGGGACTGATGAAAATGTGGAAAATAAGTTTTGTAGATCTATTGGAAATCGGCGTTATGTCTTGGTAACTCGATTAAACGTTTCACTGAATATTTCATTTCAAAAGTGACGTATAAATTGAAACGTTAATGTCCACTAGAAGACGAATCGTCTGAAGCGGAACAGCTTTGAGATATTCCTAACGTCAGTGTATTTGGATCAGTTTAGTTCCTATTGTGTCTCGAGCTGTGTACATTATTTTTAACTGCAATTAGTACAACGATGAATTCTAACATAATCAAGAAGTGTAACTACCATATTTATTTTGGTTAACCTGATATGATATCCCAGTAAGCTTTCAAAGTATCACTGGTAGTTTCATTTGGCCACAGAAAAGTTGAAGATTTGAAATGCTTTCGCCAAAATGTCTCGTTTGGAGAGTCTATTTTCTCAGCTATACAGTACCAGATCTACACCCTCGTAATCTGTATTACATTTAATAGTTTCAGTAATTATAACACTAATAAATAATCGAGTGCATGTTGCAATTTTTGTAATGCATGTCATAAATGACCACTTTAATAAATAATGTAAGTTCAACAATAGAGAACATATAGACTAGAAGGATTAGCAGGTTTAATGTACCAGGAAAGTCGTAATGACAATGTAAATTATATTCTTAGTCCACCTAATACCAACTGAGTGGCCAGACGGAGTGAAGTGAATAGTTGCTGCGTGTCACGTTTATTTTTCGTACAAAAATATGAATCTCTAATTCACGACCCTAAAATGTCTGACACTGACGTCTGCTTTTGGCTGTATTGTGTTCACTGAGTTGAGTAGTTTAATTGGGAACTTTTTCTTGTCGTTTTATATAACTCCATCATGGCCTAATTTATGTAGGATCGAGTTGTTCAGATATTCCATAAGTCCAAAATGTACCTACTCTGGTGATCATCTTGTTTGAATGATGATTGGATAATCAACTTTTACGACCCATGTTTTCTGGTGTCTTGATTATCCTAATATATTTTTAGTAGCGGTTTCCAAGCCCATAATTATCAGGTTATTTCGTTTCAGTAACAAAATAACTATCCATATGTTCCATGAATTTCAGTTGTTTCTCAGTTAAAATCATTAGCCCATGTCGAAGGCTATCTCCAAATCGAAGTAATCTTCAAAACATTTAGCTGTATATATTTGTACTATTAAACGCTATTCACTTCCAGTATTAGTTATACAGACTGATATAGTTGGCATACGACAATCTAAAACACCTAGATATATCGTTAGCTCTAATAAATCTGATTTCTGTACGAAATCTCTGCACATAGTTCTGTACGGGATTGTGCTATAAAGGAGAATGTTTTAGTGTAGTTCTTTTGCAATTCGATGGTTTAAAATGATTTCGTCATCTAATAACTGTCCTAGTAAGTAGACATATGTAGCAACTAATTAAGCGTGGTTCCTTCAGTGTAACTTGTGTCAACCTGTTGTCAATTTATTAATACGGTATTTCTCTAACATCAAACTCAACTTTGTGAACAATCTGTTAATAAGTCTCGGCCTCCTTCAACGACATAATGTATGTACCACCCTGAAATTATGCATTTGTGATAGAGTTTATTTATTTAATTTATTATTTATTTATTTATTTGAACACATAAATATTGGTACAGGGGGGCACCAAATATATATGCGCCACACAAAACAATGATAATTTGAAGAGAAGGAGAAAAGAGAAAGAAAAAAAAAGTAATGAACGTGGGGAATTATAAAAAAAAAAGAGAGAGAACAATGGTGGGGGAAACGGAAAGGTA